GAGGCAGGGAAGTTTCTGGAACCAGTTCCCAGCCTGCGCATGCGCAGAGCTAGCAGAAGACAAGAACACTTGAGAAAGCAGGGTTTGACTCAGGAGTAAGGCCACACCCATCGGAGATGGTTGTCCCCTCCCATGGGAAATAAAAGAGGAGCGAAAGGGACGTGAGCTTTTGCAGGAAGCAATTAGTTCGTCTGGTCGGTTCAAGCTTTGAAAAGTTCTGTTTGACTCCGTCGAGTTTGGCCTTGCCCTGCATTTGGCTATTCGTTCTCTGGCAGCATTACAAGTGCGATAAGGTGGGAGTTTATCAACATTCCCTTGAAAGACTGTTTGTGAAGCCTTGCAGGCTGGGAATGAACGTAATTCACAGCTGTGGAAATAAAAGGAGGTTTTGCTGGGACTAAGATTGTGTTTTATGCTTTCGAAGGAAGCCTAGGTCAGAACAGGTAGCACCAATATTTTTTTCCCTCCAAAATGACGTTCTGAAATTGTAGTAGGACTTCTTCAGCTGTGGTCTCCTCTAAGGGGTTTCTCTTTGATCCTCCTTCCAGATGTTGGACAACCCGGGACAGAGATTTTTTACATGCCAGCCATGACAGGAACAGGTAAGCACTAGACCTCTCCTGCACCCTGCCTTATCCCCTACCTGGAAGGGTGCCCTCTTTGGGGTCCCCTCGGCACCTGAGGTTGGGTTGGGGGGAGGGTGGTTTTTGCAAGCTGCCCTTACTTACTGACAGCTGGTAAAGTTAGTTCACCTGTCCTGCAACAGAAGATTGAAAAGCCTTTATAACGTTGGGAAAGGGAGGCCAATGTCCAGAAAGGATTGGACGGGAAGGAAGACCAACAATAAGTTGGATTGTTAAATTTATTTTTAATATAAAAATCACCCCTTCCTTGTTCCTCAACCTCTGTCTCTTAAACTCGTTTAATTACATTTTATCATCCCCTCTTTCCCTGGGAACGTTGGGCAAACAGCTGCCCCCTTAGCGCCTTCTCTGGTCTCTTTATGCACTGCCGCACCTTAACTGCATGGCTTCTGATGACTCACAATTGCGATACAACCGCCATCAACGACGCCACAGATCCCAAGACAAACAGGAAAGGCCCACTTGGCTGATGTCCTCTTTGCCACGACCCCAAAATTGTGGGTAGGGGAAACAAGGCTGGAGGGAAACCAGGAAAGAATTGGGGGGGAATGTCACAGCTGGTGGACGGAACCACCCCTTGGGTGCCCAGGGACTTGTCCTCAGATTTTATGAGGGCCCTTTGTCCCAGGTGGCATTGAAGTTGGGTGAAGACCTCCATTTTGATTGCTCCCAGTTCAGGGAGGTAGTAGCCATTCTTCTGTTGACCTCAAGGTAGTCGATAGTCAAGTATAGAACAGGCTTAGAGTTTAAGAAAATCCGTTTGGGCAGTTGCTAAGAAAAACCTTTGAAGTGGAGACATCTTGCTTTCATGAAAGGAACCCTCAATAAATAAATCTATTAGATAGATAGATAGATAGATAGATAGATAGATAGATAGATAGATAGATAGATAGATAGATAGATAGATAGAT